GATGGAGCCTCTTCTGGCTACTCAACCAATGGAAAAAGGCTGTTCCCACTTATGTGGTAGGGGAATACAGGATATTTTCTCCAAGAAGCATCTCCCACATGGGTGCCTCCATCTCAGATGATCTGAACATGTTCAATTGTCCTGTTACATTTTCACAATTCTAATTAGCTCTTCAGAATAGTTAGACCAATTCATAGCTCCACCAACAGTGTTTAGGTGTGCCTCTCTTTCCACAACCCTTACAACATTGGCTATCCCCATCTTTTGTCATCTCTCCCAACTTTCTGGGTGTGATTGGAAACTGAGATATAGTCTTTAATATTCAGGTCACATTTACTTTGGGCATATGAAAAATGTTTGTTGATTAAATGAATACAACTGAAAATATTAGCTAAATTATAGATGCCATGCTATAATAATCAAACTAGCAAGACACTGTGCTAGGCTTTGGGTACCAAGATACAAAAGATGAAACAATCCCTACTCTGAAGGGGCTGACATTCTATTAGAATGTAGCTTAAATTCAATCTACTAAAAATATTGCCTCAGTCAAGCCATAAGCACTTAGTATTCCTTCAGTTTTTTTTAAAATGTTATTTAAAACGCTCTTATGTTAAAAAGCATTTTACAATTGTATCTATACATGCTAATTGTGCCTTGGTAGATTGACTTGTTTTTGTTTGTTTGTTTGTTTGTTTTTTAGCAATTTAGATGTTTTTGTAGCAATTCTGAATGAGACTTAACTTCCTATCATTTCTGCCTGGATTTTATTATTGCTGTATAGAAATGATGTGGATTTTGTGGATTTATTTTATACCTTGCTATTTTACTAAAGCCATTGTTTAATTAGTTTCTTTGCTGATTCTCCAGAATTTTCCAAGTTGCATTATCAATAAATAGGGATAGTTTTGTCTCCTCATTGCCTATGCTTATGCCTTTATTTTTTTTCTCTCATCTTATTGATATCATCAGCATTTCTAGAACTATATTAAATAATATTAGAGAAAGGGAACATCCTTATTTTAGTCCTATATCCATTGTGAAACCTTTAGTGTTTTCACATTGCATCTAATGCTGCCTTTGATTTTAGATATTTTAAAATCATTTTTAAATGTTCTTTCTATGCCAATGCTTTGTAGAATTTTTTAAGCATAAATATTTTGTACTTTGTCAAAGTCTTTTTTTCTGTAGTTAGTGATATAGTCATGTGATTTGGTGAGTTTTTTATTTTAATATGATTCATTAGGTTAAATGTTTCCCCCAATGTTGAACTATCAAGGATATTGTTACATCCTTGATACAAAGCCAGCATGATTATGCTGAATAATTTTTGAATATATTGCTGCAGTATTTTTGCTAGTATCTTATTTTAAAATTGTGAATTGAGGTATAGTAAATAGAGTGCTGGTCTTAGAGTTAGGAAGACTTTAAATCCTTTGAAATTTGAATCCTTCCTCATATAACTGGCTATATAACCATCCCTCGGCAAGTCATTTACTATCTCTCTTCCTCATCTGTAAAATGAGGATAATAATATCACTTATTTCTAAGAATTATTGTGAGGTTCAAATGATAGAATATATTAAGGTGTTTTGCAAACTTTAAAGTTCTATGTAAATGTTAGCTATTGGTCTTTAGTTTGCTCTATCTTCCTTTTTTTTTAAAATCTTCCCTTGTTTAAGTATTAGGACTGTATTTATTTCATAAAATGAGTTTAGTATAGTGTTTCTTTGTCAGTTTTTGAGGATAATTTGTTTAGCATTGGTATGAATTGTTCTTTAAAAGTTTGATAAAATTCTCCTGTAACAGAGGTTTTTTCCTTCTTTATTTAGAAGTTCTCTTTTCTAAAATTGGATTGTTTAACCTTTCTACTTCATGTTCTGTTAATATAGGTATTATATATCTTTGCAGATAAACTTCCATTGCTTTTAAATTTTCAATTTAGTGGAAATGTAATTGTACATAACAGGTACTGATAATTCTTTTTAAAATTTCTTCTCTGTCAAGTCAAATCAAGTCAACAAACATTTATTTAGTGCTTACTATAAACCAAACACTGTGCTAATCCTGGGGACACATTCTGGTGTCTGATCAGCTCCCTCACTTGCCAATACAGCTTTGGGCAGGGTGAAAGAGAGAGATGAGGATCAAAACAAGAATCAAGATGATTACTTCCTCATTACTCACTCACTCATCAACCCCTTGCATTCTGGCTTCTGACCCATCACTCCACTCTCTGAAAGGTTAATAACAATCCTAACAATCTTTTACCTTTAACCATGTGACCTTTTTTTTTTAATCCTCCTCCTCTTTGACTTCTCCATACCTTTTGATAGTCACCCTCCCCAGAGTCACTGGCATTGACTTTTCTCTTACCTTTCTGATCACTTCTCAGCTTTTTTTTTTTTTTTGCTGGATTGTCACCTGTATCCCATCCATGAAGCATAGGTATTTCCCAAGACTTTGTCTTTGAGTCCCTTTCTTTTCTTTCTACATTTTCTCCCTTGGGTATATCATCTGCTGCCATGATTTCAATTATCATCTCTATAAAAGTGACTCCCAAATCTATATATCCACCCTAAGCTTTTTTCTGAACTCTAGTTTGCTGGATATTTCCACGTGAATATCTTGTAGACATATCCAATCTAGTCCAATAAACATTTATTAAACACTACAGGCACTGTGCTAAGTTCTGGGGATACAATTAAGGAAAAGAAAGACAACCCTTGCCCTCAACGAGCTTATAATCTAAAGGGGGGGACAACACGTAAAAGGAAGAAAGGAGGAAAGCAAGGGCAACAGTGAAGGAGACAGAATATCAGGGGGTAGCCAACATGGAAGGATCTTTTCCCATGAGTTGATACCAGGTAGGGCAGCAGATGCAAAGCAGAGAGATCTGAAAATCTGCCCTCAATAAAGGAAGGCAGTGGGAGGAGTACTCTGTCCTCTGGCCCTCCAAATAAGAAGGGAGGGGAGGCTGAGAGAGGTGGAGTCAATCAAAGCATAATGGTAGTGAGTTTAAAAGTGATGAGCTTATCCTGCGTGGGACATCTTGTTGGTAGAGTTGAAACCAGTCTGAAATGGAACTTATTATTTTCCCTAGCAAATCTATCCATCCTCCAAAATTCTTACCTGTTGAGGTCACTAGCCCTCCCAATCACCCTGGTCTGTGCCCTAGCAGTCATCATCCGTTTATTACCCTTTATTCTTTCCCCACACTCAATAGGTTGCCAAATCTTGTTGATATTTTCACAACTTCTCTTATATCCAACTCTCTCAACTCACATGACCACCTAATTCAGGTCCTTAACAAATCTTGCCTGTACAATTGTAATAGACTCTTAATTGGTCTCCCTGCTTTTAATTTATTCCTTCCCCAATTCCTTCTTGTCATGGCTATCTAAATCATTTCACTAACACATAAGGAGATGATTACCATATAGGTAGATAACCATACCACTTCCCTACTTAAACACTTTTTATTGTTTCTATGGTAAAATTCAAAATCATTACTGGCATTTTATACACAATCTGGCTGCTATCTACCTTTCCAGCCTTATTTCACATTATTCCCTGGATTTCAGTCAAACAGGACTACTAGCTGTTTCCCTGAGCCCAATATTCCATTTCTCTCCTCCAGGCCTTTGCATCAGCTGACCCCTAAGCATGAAATGTATCAAGAATCACAGAATATCAGAGCTGTAAGGAACCTTAGCGGCCATCTAGTCCAATTCATACCCAAACAAGGCACCCCACTTTAACATACTCAGAGAGTGGTCATGTAGTTCCTGTTTACATGACTCCACTACTAGGGAACCCACAACCCAGGAAGCCTGACTTTTCCTCTCTTGGACAGGCCAAACTTCCCAGTTCTTTCTATTGATACTCATATTGACACTCTTTCCCCATTTTGGTGGCCATCCTCTGGGTGCTCTCCAGTTTATCAATGCTCTTTCTAAAATCTGTTGCTCATATCATGATACTCTAGAAGTGATCTGCCCGATAATTACTACCCTGTCATCGATGACTCTTAGAATCCCTATCTTCCTTAAAGGCTCTTTCAAGATGTCTTGAAAGACATCTTTCAATATAATATTGGTTTCCTTTGTAATCCTATCCTTTCATTTTATGCATTTAAAAACATTATTCTGAAAGGGGGTCCATATCTTCACTAGACTGTCAATGTGGCCCATGACACAAAAAAGCTAAAAACTCATTATCTTTAACAATCTACATACATGGTATCCCACCAATAGATGCAAGATTTTTAAGGGCAAGGACTGTTTTATTTTTGTCTTTGTATGTACACTGAATTGAATTGTGGATTCAATTCACTGCAACTGGCATGTAGTACTTAATAAAGTCGAACTAAATTGAATAAATTGCAAGGGATTCCTTTGCAAATGTCCAAAATTTGGTGTCAAGATGCCCGTTCTTGCCCCCCCAAATCCCATCCTTCTAAATTAGTTAATTAAACAAGCATTTTAAAGTGCCTACTATGTGCTAGGCAGAATACTTGACCAGATGGTCAAGGCAGCCTCTAGCCAGAGGTTCTCTGGACACCGTCAGATTGAAAATCGCGTCAAGCGGTTTCCCAGTCCGGCAGCACTTCGGACAGGCACTTCAGGAAGGGACGGATGAAGGCGAGGCAGCGGCGACTGACTCCCAGTGTGAACAGCGCTTGACGGAGACAGGACGCAGGAGCAAATGTGGAAGTCCTGGGGGAGGGCAGGAGTCCTGTCCCTGTCTCCTGTCCTCCGCCTCTAAGGGGAGGGAGGGTAGGACAGTGGAAGGCCAGATCCTGCTCTTTCGTTTTCGTTTTCCGGAAGGATAGCGACTGCCGGAACTCATTACCGCTCCGGGATTGCGAGCTCCAGCGTCCCTAGGTCTCTAGCGCTTCCAAAATAGTTTTTCTCCTCACACCCATCTTTCTTTTCCTGGTGCGGAATAAGGGTTTGGGTGGAAGTAGAGTCAGGAAACGAAGACCAAGGTAACCCAGCGACAGGAGCCAGCTCAGCCCTCATGGAAGGAAGACGGGCTTCCACTCCACCTGTAATGCAGGTAAGAGCCCGTGATCCCTGAACTAAAGAAGGCTCAATTCGTCCCGCTCTTCCTAAATCCCTTCCCCACCTCTTCTCTACCCAGCCTTCTCCACAGAACTCACTCAGGTTTTGAGAATCCTCTTCCATTGCTAGAGTTGTGCTTCACTCACCAACGTATGTAATGTTGATTTGGAGTCAGAGGACCTGGATTTGAACCTTGATTCTACTACTTAATACCTCTGTAACCTCCGTTCTCTAGACCTGTTTTCACATCGGCAAAATGAACTATTTGGACTAGATAATCTCTAAGATGCTATCCTAACTCTAAAGTCTATCATAGCATCAAATTTCCATTCGTTCCCACTTCCAAACATTGTCTCCCTACAGCCGGTATTACTGCTCCCACTCTGCCATCTACAATCCCTATTCAATGCCCCTGTCGTTTGCTTCTTCATATTTTCTGCTCTGGTCAGTCCCCACATGCTTTCCCCCTTATCCTTCCAGTACCCCTTAAATTCTTCAATTCACCCAACTCACTGGAACTCATAGTCAGCATTCACTCTCACCCCTTAATCATATTCTCCCTCCAACCAAATATCTTACAACCTTTAGAAAGAGTCCTCCCCACCAATACCTTTCTTTAGAGCCTTGGTTCCTACCAGCAATTCTGAGGCTCCTGGGCTCACATTTCCCTTGCAGTTAGCAGCCTTGGAATTCCCCTTTCTTTAGGCAGTTCTTACTTGGCAGAAGGTGGAGTGGGCAAACACTGGATGCATTTGTTCAATCCAAGAACAGGTGGAGTGCTGGCCTACAGCCAGCTTTGGAGGGTAGAAGTAATTTTTTTTTCTGGAGAATACTCTCATTTCTAAGTGGAAGATCAGTAGTAACAGTTGTGCGTGAGACTGATGACCAAAACCACAACCAAAAGGCTTGAATAAGAAATGGAAATTCAATAGGAACTGAAACTGAGCCCTAAGTTCATTTCTTTGACTCTTCTGTCAAACTGCATAGAGTACTGAAGGCTCGGGTCAAGACCTATCTCTGACATATTGGCAGTGTGACCTTGGATAAATCATTCGGTCTCTATGCTCTTGACAACTCTCCAAAGCGATAAGTTATGGAGGGAGTTTCCTTACCTGGCAGTTCCCTGGAATTTATTCAAAATGTCACTAAACTGCTATCTTTGACCAATGAAATTACAGGTTCAATCTTTATCTTCTCTACCAGCCAAGTTTATTCTGCTGCTATCACTTCCAGAATCTTTTTGTACAAATGCTCAGGAGATGAATGCAAAAATGTAGAAGATCCTTGCTAAAAGAGTGGAAGGTTTGCTTTTGTTTTGTTTTGATTTTTAACCTGAAACTGGTTTCACTTTTACTTTTCCTGAGTTAGCTATCTGTGGCTGGCAAGGAGCCTCAAGTGACCTTCTAAGAATAAGACCCTTTATCGTAACCAAAATAGGGTGGAGATAACACTGCATCTGGAACCTGAGGAAGGAGGCTAGAATGCTGATCCTGCTATTTCCTATCCCTGGGACTTTAGGCAAGTCATTACTCCTCTGAGTCTCAGCTTCTTTAACTGTCAAAAGAAAGAAAGGGTTGGACTAATTTCAGGGGTCCTTAACCTTTTTTTTTTTTGGTGTCGTGGACACCTCTGACTCTAGTGAAGCCTATGGGTCCCTTCTTAGAATAATGTTTTTAAATGCATAAAATTCATGGAATTACAAAGGAAATCAATTACATTGAAATATAAGTATCATTGCACATGTATAGCCTATATTAGATTGCTTGCCATCTTGGGGAGGAGAGAGGGGAGGGTGGGAGAGTGGAGAAAAATTTGAAATGAAAAATCTTTCAAAAAATAATTGTTGGAAATTGTTTTTACATGTAATAGGAAAAAATAAAAAAACTATTAAATAAAAAAGAAATATAGGTATCTATCTATTTATTTTGAAAAAATCATAGACCACAGGTTAAAAATCTCCTGATTTTGAAATGATCTCTAAAGTCCCTCCTTGCTCTAAAATCTATAATCTCATTATTTTAGTGGCTAGGTTACCTCTTTGGGTTAAATTGATTTTCAAATGCTGTAAATGGAGACATCACTTTGGGGGGCTGGGGAACCAGAGTAAAGCTGGCTACCCTTTTTTCATGTACTTTTAAAAGGGTTTTAAAAGCATGTACAATCTGCCTTTCAAACCACGTTTTCAGGCCCTAAGATTTTATGCATTGGAAATGAATTTATATCCAGGAATCCTCTGGTGGGGCTTGTCATAGTGTGTATTAGCAAGTTTGGATTAAATAAAAATAAAGCAGCTATTTTTCTTTAAAAAAAAAAAAAGAACTTAATGGGTTAGACTAGTAGAAAAATTCTACTTTCTTTTGAGCCAGTTAATGATGACCTCTCTTGTTCTGTTTCATTTCACTCTAGGGAGGAGAGTTGGCTAATTCTTCTTCCATTCTAGTGTCAGCAACACCACCCCCAGTCACTCAGTTCCAAGCCAGATGTGAAACTAGAATGCAACTTATCCATGAGGAGGAGATCTGCAAGTTGCCAGGCAGACTCAGTGAGTGGATGAGAGATCAATGTTGATTTTTTTTCCTTTCAAAGTCAAAGGCCTGAATGTATTTGGTTCTCTCCAGGGTAAACCCACTGGCCCTTATCCCTGATTTGCACTATCTGCCCTCATTTATTTAGCTTTTCTTTGGAGATGAAGTCAGAGAAGGTAAATTAGAATTCTTTCTGTCGAAGGATTTGACTGCCCATGATATATAAACCTGGAATGATTAACTGTGGACAGTAAGTACTTTCTTCCTTGTATAGGGAGGGAGTGGAATTGTCCCTTCCAGCTCTAACATTCCATGAGACTATGAAAACCAAACAGGGGAAAATAACCTAATAGGACTTTTTGGTGGAAGGGATCTTTGAGGGTCAATTAGTCCAACCTTCCTCATTTTATTTGTTTTTTTTTTGTTTGTTTGTTTTGTTTTTTGTTTAATTTTTGGCCAGGCAACTGGGGTTAAGTGACTTGCCCAGGGTCACACAGCTAGTGAGTATCATGGGTCTGAGGCCAGATTTGAACTCAGGTCCTTCTGACTCTAGGGCCGATGCTGTATCCACTGTACCATCTAGCTGTCCCCAACCTTCCTCATTTTAGAGAGAAGGAAAATGAGCTAGGATCTCATGCTATCTGTCCAGTGCTCCTTCTACCATGCTAGGTCACCCACAAGGAGAAGAATGCAGAAACAAACCCTTACATTGAAGGGTCCTTGCATTAAGAAGGCCCTAGCCTTCTTCTGAGGAGTCTTTCTTATATGTCAGGAGAGTCAGTTTCATGCAGTGAATAGCACATTGGATTTGGAAACAGGTTTCAAATCCTGGAGTTTCCTCTTAATAATGGCATTTATATAATGTTTTAAGGTTTGCAAAATAATTTACAAATATCTCATTTGATCTTCCTAAAACATAGGTCTGATCATATCACTCCCTCCCTCCCACCATTTAATACACTCTAGTGACTCCCTGTTACCTCCAGGATCAAATATGCAATCCCTGATGTTCAAATCCCTTTACAACCTGGTCTCCTCCTATGTTTCCAGTCATCTTACACCTTATTCCCAGGGCCCCCCCCACCCCCTCATTCTGCTATCCAGTGCCACTGGTCAACATAAGGTACTCCATATCCCAACTGAGTATTTTAACTGGTTGATTCTATGTTTGGAATTCTCTACCTCCTTATCTCTGTCTCCAAGAGTCCCTAGCTTTTTTTTTTCCAAATCCTGGCCAAAACCCTACCTTCTACAAGAAGGCTTTCCTTATCTCCCTTAAAGCTAGTGTCTTCCCTTTGTTCCTCATTTCCAATTTATCCTGTATATAGCTTATTTATATATAATTTACATTGGATTCAAAAATGCTATTTCAGAGCAGGGACTATTTTTGCCTTTCTTTGTATCCCCAGTGCCTAGCACATATTAGGCACTTAATAAATGCTTGTTGATTGAGTGATCTTTACAGCACCCTGGGAAGTAGATGCTGTTTTCAATCCCATGTTATAGGTAAAGGAATGGAGGCAGCGACACTAATATACTGTGAACTGATCCAACCATTTGGAAGGTATTCTGGAATTATGCCCAAAGAGTTATAAAACTGTGTATACCCTTTGGTCCAGCAATACCACTATTAGGTCTGTTTACCAAGGTGATGAGGGAAAAAGACAAAGAACCTATATGTTCTAAAATGTTTATAGCAGCTGTCTTTGTGGTGTCAAAGAACTGGAAACTGAGGGGATGCCCATCAATTGGGGAATGACTAAGTTGTGATTATTGTGATGGAATACTACTGTGCTATAAAAAATGATGAGCAGGTTGATTTTAGAAAAATATGGAAAGACTTACTGAAATAGTGCAGTGAAATGAGCAGAACCAAGAGAATGTTGCATATGGTAACAACAATATTGTTCAAAGAATAACTGTGAATGACTAAGTTATTTTGAGTAATATGAACATTCAAATCAACTGTGACGACTTAGGAGGGAAAATGCTATCCATCTCCAGAGAAAGAACTTACACAGGAAAGTATGTATTATATGCTTCCACATATATATATGTGTGCGTGTGTATGTGTGTATATACATACATACATAGATACACACACACACACACACATATGGAGCAGCTAGGTGGCATAGTAGATAGAGTACCTAGCCTGGATTCAGGAAGACTTATCTTCCTGAGTTCAAATCTGACCTCAGACACTTAGTAGCTGTGTGACCCTGGGCAAGTCATTTTACTTTGTTTGCCTCAGTTTTTTCATCTGTAAAATGATCTGGAGGAGTAAATGACAAACTACTCCAGTATCTTTGCCAAGAAAGCCCCAAATGGGGTCACAAAGAGTCAGACATGACTGAAAAGACTGAACAACAACATATATCTATATCAAATGTTAGCTGTCTCTAATCCAGGGTTGGGAGGCAGGGAGACAACTTGGAACCCACAATGTAACAAAAAAGAAAGAAGGAAGGAAAGAAAGACAGAAAGTAGACAGATGGAGGCAGACTTCCCCAGGGTTACATAACTAGTGAGTGAGTTAAGATTTGAACTCAGGTCTTCCCGACTTCAGGCCCAGTGGTCTACCCACTGTGCCCCCTAGCTGCCAATATGACCTTTCAGCAGTTACTTCATTTCTCTGGCCCTTACTTCCCTTCCTCAATGAGAGGGATGGAACTAAAAGACCTCTCAGATTCCTTCCAGCTCAAAGTCCTATTATAGTAGGCTGGCACATCAAGCCTTATGCATTGTGGACATTTAAGCCCTTAACATGAAGAATTTCAACTTGCTTTCACTGACTTAAACATCTTATGACCTCCAAGGTCATGTAGTTTAACGTCCTATACAATGCAGGAGGAATCTATTCTACAATATCCCTGACGGATAGATGGTCCTCAAGCTTATGTTCATTCATTATTTCCAGGAACGGGGAGCTCATTGCCTAGCTAGTTACATCACTGGACAGTGGTAGATATGGTACTCAGAGTACCCTATTTTACACTAAATTGGAAGTGCTGAGAAGCTGCTCACATCATCTGAGGAATCATGACACACTCATTGAGATGCTTCTGAAAGTACCTTTTGCTCTTGTTTGGTACTTTTTCTGTGACCTCATTTGGGGTTTTCTTGGTAGAGATACTGGAGTGGTTTGCCATTTCCTTCTCCAGCTCATTTTATAGACAAGCAAACAGGGTGAAGTGACTTGCCCAGGGTCACACAGCTAGTAAGTGTCTGAGGTCAGATTCGAACTCAGAAACATGAGTCTTCCTGACTCCAGGCCCAGCGCTCTGTGCACTATGGCGCCACCTAGCTGTCCCCTGAAAGTACCTTAGTTGTGTTGCATGGTAAATATTTAACTGTCTCAAAAGATAAGGTGAAGATAATGACTAATTGTTATATTCTCAGCAAGAACAAAAGTAAATTAACAGCTAACGGTTGGGAAGGTGGGGCTCTCAGGGCATCTCAGAGCTGATTGGATCTGTCACTGAACAGGAGTTCTTGCAGAACCGAACAATGTCCCTGAGAGTTGGTGATCTAGCTTCCTCCTGAAAGCTGTGAACTCCGGGGACCTGCACAGCCTTCTGAAGCAGCACCCTCCACTTCTGGGCAGCTTGAAGGTTATGAAGATTTTCTAGCTGAAAGGCACAACATTTTAGAGTCATAACCTCTCAGAGATTGCCCAGACTAGGGGTGGGGAACCTGTGGGCCTGAGGCCACATGTGGTCCTCTAGGTCCTCAAGCGCAGCCTATGTGGCCTCAAGGCCCGCAGGTTCCCCACGCCTGGCCCAGACCTTAGAAATCCTCTGGCCCAACTTTCCACTCAGTGCAGGAGTCTCCCCTCTCCATATTATCTCTGAACACAACCCGTAATAGGGAATTAATTCAAAGAATTCATTCTTCCTGTTCTGTCCTCACCTCCCACACCAAGGTCATCTGAACAGATTTCAAGTTGGAAGGAAGGCTTAGAGGTTATCTAGGTCCACACCTTCACTTACAGTTGAGGAAGCTGAGGCCCAGGGAGGTTAAGTGACTTGCCCAAAATCACACGGAGAGCAACTGTCAAAACTTCAGTTTAGTGAAGACTTCTTTGGGGGGAGGGAAAAAGCTGAGCACTTTTTCTCTAGAATCTCTGTTTCATCTGTCCTTGTTCCTCTTCCCCCTCATCCTTCCCTCTCCCGCCTCCTAGTCGCCTCTTGCTTGTCCTCCCTGTCATCATTGTGATCCTCCCTCCTCCTCCTCCCCTTCCTCCTTCTCCTCTCTTCCTGGGTCTCCCTATTTCACCCAGGCTGGAAAAGCAGCAGCCCCTCTCACAGCCCAATCTCACTAATGATTTGTTCTGTTTCTGACCTGGGCCAGTTTAGAAACCTCTCCCTGGGTAGTTTGTTTTCCTCCCCACCATGGAGCTCGCCTTAGTGCAGGCATCCCATCAGCTTAGCCCTTTGCAGTTCAGAACTCCTGAATTAGAGCAATCCACTGGCCTCTGCCTCCACCACCTGGCATCCCTTGCTTTCGAATAATGAGGATCCGACTGAATTATGTTGTTTTACTTTCCCAGCAGGAAACTGAGTCAACAAGAACAACAAAACCAGTGTCATTTGCTTTTTTGACTCATAACCAAGTGGTGCTTAAATATTATTCTTCTTTCTCCTCCCCTTCTTTCCCAGTTCCTACATTTCCCTCTTCGTTTGCCCTACAGCATCGCACAATCATGTGGCTAGGGAGAACAAATTAAGCACTCTTAAGACATTATTTATAGTCTTCAGGGTTATGCCCTGTTGGAAGGGGGTGGACCATAGCGGAGACACATTGCCCAATGACAGAACTGGCTGGGTATAACACCCACATCTTCATCTCCCTATTTTGCATCAATATATTCACGTCTCTGTTTTTCTCTTTGCAAAATAAGGAAAGTTTGGGAGATAGGGAATGAAGAGAAGGGAAAATCCTCTTCTTTTGGAGTCACTAGTCCCTGTCTCTGAAACAGAACTAGTGGAGCAATATTAATAGTTGGAACTTGCATAATGTTTAAAGGTTGACAAAGCACTTTATAGTTGGTCAATCAACAAACATTTTGTATTTGCGGTGAGATTTGAACCCAGATCTTTCTGACTTCAAGTCTAGTGCTTTATCCATGATATGTAAAGTGTGTGAAGTGTAATAACTGTCTTTTGTGGCAGAGAAAAAAGGAGGGTTTTGTTCAGTTGTGATTTCCAGATCAGCTGAGTCCAAGTAGTCCAGTTGGAGTGCAGAGGGAATACATGGAAAGGAGTGGTATGACATTCTTAGAGAGTCCCTTCTATGATTCTTTGGAAGATAAAGTGAAGAAGCTCCAGGAAGCCAACAAAATGCTAAATAAAAGCCCCCACTTCTCTAAGCATTTTAAGGTTTGCAAAGCATTTAAAGAGTTGCTTAGGGCCTAAGAGGTCTAGTGTTTTGCCCAAGTCACACAGCCAGCATGGATCAAAAGCAGAATCTGAACCCTGGGTCTTCCTTCCTCAAAGGCAGGCTCTTGGTTCACTGTGAGTGAATCCAGGTAAGTATTGGTTCCATTTAAAGGCTGAGGAAGTTGTGAAAAGGGGTCAGTACTGCTGGATTTGTAGTCAGAGGACTCAGTAGGAATCCTGGCCCTGGAGCAAGTCTTTCTCCCTTGTGTTCAGGTCTCTCCTGATGTTAGGCCTTATGTTCATTCCACTGTCCCACACTGATGCTAACAAAATAAGGAACATTTTGAAACCGATAAAAGTAATTAACAGCATGCACATAACAGGGGGAAAAATGTTGGGGAAAAAGGAGAGAGGAAGGAGGGCAGTCCTCTCGAAGCCAGCTTCAAAGAAGGGATTGGGGAAGGGTGGCCCACCAACTTCCATCAAGAAGAGCTGGTTCTGTCCTTTGAGGCTACCTAATGACCACCTAATGACTGACCCTCTCAGCACCCCTTCCCTCCCCTTTTCCATCAGTTCCCTGTTCTGGTAGCATCTCCAGCCCACAGTCACTTGAGTGGCAGCTCGGTACCATACAGAGAATGTTGGCTTTGGAATCAGAGAACTCCAAAGTTTGAGTTGGGTTCAAGATGACCTTAGCTCTGGATCCATGAATGACTCCTGGACTGTCTGGGCTCTGACAGGAAGTTGTCAGGGCAGGAAACCTACTTGTGGTTTTTCCATCTAAACTTCCTAAGACCTGCCTCTGTCATGTACTCCATGTGGGACCTTAAGTAAGTCCTCTGGGCCTCCATTTTCTCCTTCGTAAAATGAAGAGATTGGATTAGACAGACCCTGAGTTCTTTGCAGCTTTATGATCTCACGCTCACGTATCAGTGGTTCCCATTCTGATCTGTGTCTGTGGTTGGTTACAGGAATTCAGCCTTCACTGTGGAGTAAGGAGGATGTGATTCACTGGCTAAGATGGGCTGAACAGGAGTACTCCCTCCCACAGACAATGGAGCACAAGTTTGAAATGAATGGGAAGGCCCTCTGCATCCTGACCAAAGATGATTTCAGATACCGAGCTCCCGGTTCAGGTCAGCAGATGTAACAGACTTCAGTCAAGAAGGAGATGGCAGGGGTGGGCATAAGATGGATGTGGTCAGTTGCCTCTGGCAGGAAGGACGTCAGGGCAAGAAACCTACTTGTGGTTTTCCCATCTGACCTCCTCTTAACTCACATCTTAGCTGAGGTTTCTTTCTGCTGCACATTTAGCCCTTGAGCAGGAAAAGAGGGCTCTCATTCAGGGCTGGGTCTTTGGCAAAGTTGTGCCCTTTCTCCTACTCAGTGTACCCCTCCTTCTTGTCCCTTTTCTAGTTTTCTGACCCCTCCTCTTTCCCCACAAGCACATGTATACACTTAGTGCTTTCATGTTCCTATCCTCAGGAAAGGATCTGACAAACTTCTTAACAAGCAGGTATAAGTGACTGATAACCCTGAGCCCTCCCTCCCTAGGATTTGTCATATTAATATGGATTAAGCCAAATATTCCTAACCTGGGGTCTGGGAACTAGAATTTTTAAATATTTTAATAACTATTTCAAATAATTGGTTTCCTCAGTGTTTGGTTTTATGCTTTTAAAAACATTATTCTGAATACTATTGCGATGAACAGGCTGACTTCAGAAAAACCTAGAAAGACTTGTACGGTCTGATGCTGAGTGAAGTGAGCAGAACCAAGAGAATGTTGTACACAATAACAGCTACATTGTGTGATGACTAATATTGATAAACTTACCCCTTCCCAGCAATACAAGGATCTTAGACATCTCCAAAGGCCTCGTGATGGAAAATGCTATCCACACCCAAAGAAAGAACTATAGAAGTTGAATTGCTATTTTTTTTCTCTTCTGTTGAGTTTTGTTTCCTCTTTCTGATGGTTCCTCCTGTTGGTTCTAATTTTTACTTACAACATCACTAATGTGAAAATATATTTAATAGGAATGTAAAAAAAAAACATTATTCTGAGAATGAGTCCATAGGCCTCACTTGTCTGCCACAGGGGTCCTTAACACAAAAAAGGTCAAGAACCCCTGCCTTAAGCCAAAGGAACAAATTTAGAGGTAGAGGACCTGGATTTGAATTCTGATTCTGTCACTTTGTGACCTTGGGCAAGTCACTTAATTTCTCTAGGGCCTCAGTTTCCTCCTCTGTAAAATGAAGGATTAGATTAAAAGTATTTTCCAGATCTAGAGCCATGTTCTAATAATCTCAAATGATGAAGTTATAAGCATCAGTGGCCAGGTAAGGGAAGTATTGAAGGATCAGAAACTGCTGAAATCACACAATCACACTCTGTTGACCAAACAGAGCTGGGTCCCTGCCAGGTAACACTACCCTTAGTGCTACCCAGACCAGATTAAAATGTAATTGGGAGACATTTGACAAAATAAATAAAAATACAATAGAACGTAGATAATGTTAACACATGTTTTTCTAAGTCAATATGGCACCTGCAGTGATCCTCAGGTAGGGTTTAGTGGCCCCATTTCTATTTGCGGCTGCTGTAGACAAACATCTACTCTGTCTAATCCAGACACTGCTCTTGGTCTCAGCTGGCACTTAGCCACACTGCATATTCACTCTTCTCTTTCCTCATGAATGCATTATATTTCTCAGGTTTCTTTTGTTGGTTTTTTTTTTTCAGCCTGTAGTTACAAGAGTCAAAGAGGAAAGTTTTGAAAATTTTCCATTTCCTCCTCTTCCCCTCCTCCTCCTCACCCCCCTCAGTTCCTATTACAGAGTTCCCCAAATTAGCATCCCTAATGGGGCTGCTAGAATGTTTAACACCCTCACTGAGGAACTGGAGGCCAGGGTCTTTCTTGCCTCAGAAGGATCTGTTCTCTCCCTGCAGTTTTTGGGTGAGTTCCCTCTCCCTATGAAGCCTCAGTTCTTTGCTGCTTTTCACCCCTGGTGAGGCTGTAGCTTCAAGAAGGTGAAGGGTAGAGAGCCCCCAGGAGATGTCTATGAGCCTCCACAGGGCAGAGGACATCCTAAAGGATGGGAGACACTGCTGCTTTTTGAGAAAAAATGTAGGATGTGACTAAGACCTGTCCTGTATCTGATTAGGCTAATTTCATAGGGTTTTGAGCAGGATTTGAACCCAGGTCCTCTGTCCCTGTAGCCAGTACTCTTTCCCCCCACCTCAGCCTCCCATTCATTTTACTGATGATGAGGACACTGGAACCCAGAAAAGGAAAAAGATTTGCCTAAGGTCACATCACTAGTGATTAGTTCATCAGTATTTAAACCAAGGTCCTCTGATGCCAAAGTCAGCCTTCTTTTCACTCCACCACTGACTTTTGTTTTTCCCATACCCTCAAGGGTTCCAGTCACCATCCTCTTACTGCCTAGATTCTGCCTCCCTTCCTTCTCCCCCATTCCTCCTCCCTCCCCCTGCCCAAGCAGCATGATATGATAAGGACTAGTTTTCAGGGTTCTAGGCTCAGCTCTACCACTGACTCACTATGTAACCTCAGCCAGATCGCTTTCCATCCATGGGTCTGACTTTTTTTATCTGGAAATTGAAAGGTTGGACAAAATGCTTCCTGTAGTTTGAGTCCAGTGTTACACAGCCAGGATGGGTCAGAGACAAGATTTGAACCTGGGTCTCCCTGACTGGGAGGCAGGCTTTCTGCTCACCACATGTGGTTCAGTGCAAGTATTGTCCTCTCTATTTTAAAGTCTGGAGGTCCCTTCCAGCTCTGACATTCTATGAATCAAAAGCTGATCTCCAAAGGACCTAGAAGCCAAGAACCTTTCCCTTCCCCACCTCTGCCTTATACCAGAACAAAACAATGCAACAGAAATTACCCACTTAGCTGGTCTGGGTCCTATCTACTCAGATCCCTGCTAGGGGGCAAGGATTTATGTGATCAAATACTTGAAGTTAAGGCCACAACTGGCAAATATTCAATTATTCTCTTGACAAGTCATGGCCCCTAATGGGGCTCCAAGTAGTTATTTATCTGTAGAAGGAGGAGGTTGGACCAGGTGGTCGTTAAAGCCTTTCCCTATGTTCCCTCTCATGTAACACTTGCTTTTTAACATCAGCCTTGGAGCCTCAAGCAAAAAGCATAGGTAATTCAAGCATTTTGGAGGCAGGAGACCCTTTCTGCCCTCCCCCAACCCTCAACTTACACAATAGAGGAAGTTGTCTGCTGGCCCTAGGTAGAGCTGACAGGCAAGGGATTCAATCCAATTCAACAAATATATATATTGGACACTTCTACTGAGGACAAGGAAAGAGAATATCCTAAGACCTTGCACAGTTATTTCTACTTCTTTGAAAGCAGAGACCTTGTTCAGAGCAAAGCTCTGAAAGTTCCACGAGACTGGGGAATCACAGGGACCTTGAAAAAGGGACCTCAGAGGACATTGAGTTCAACCCTCTCATTTTACAGGTGAGGAAACTGAGGAACAAATTTGCCCAGGATCACACTGCTTGTTAGTGTCTGAGGCAGGATTTGAACTCAGGCTTCCTCACTCCAAGCCCAGTACTCTATACATTGTGTTGCCTGACTGCCTGGGAGTGCTTGGTCTGTGTCTAATGATGTGGAGACAGTAATGCCAGAATAGAGTGACCTAATTCAATCCAGTAAACATTTACTGAGCACCTACTATAGGCAGAGCATTGTGCTAAGCAATGGTGGCGGTGGTGGTGGTGGGAATAGTATTTAAATCAGACACAGTCTTTCATAGAAAGCTTATAGTCCAATAGTAAGGATGGGATATATACAAGGTAAAATATCAAAGGGACAAAGGGTAGATTAAAAGTGTCCTTAAGGAAATGAGGAGAGCTCCCTTCCATCTGAGATGGATCCAAGAAGTCTTCACGGAGAAAATGGCATTGGAGCTGAGCATTGAAGGAAAAGAAAGATCTCCCCAACTTCTGCGGATGAGGAGGGAGTCCATTCCGGGCTCGGAGGCAGCCTCTTCTTTGTGTGAATGAGGGAAAGGGACATACCGGCCTCAATTCCACCCAAGGGTGACCTATCCAGACCCAGCAGATGCACTCTTTGCTCCCTTCTCAGTCAGATTCGGAGAGCCCCGGTCAACACCCTCTCTCTCCCTTGCTGCCAGGTGATGTCTTGTATGAGCTTCTTCAGTATATTAAGACCCAGAGGAGAGCCCTGGTCTGCGGACCCCTCTTCAACACGCCATTCAAGCCTGTGATCCCCTTCCAGCAGCATCTCTGTCCTCTGGAAGGTGAGGCGGTCTTCTCTTGTGCTTTTGTAACCATCCAGAAAACCTTCCCATCCTTACTCCCAAATCTCAGGGCAGCACCAGTCATGGGCAATATTATCCTATGGGCAACTGTGGGAATTGGGGGCAAGACTCTTCCCCTCTCTAGGCTCCAGTTTTTTCTATCTGGAACAACAACAACAACAACAATAGGGCAGCTAGATGGTATGGTGGATAGAGCACTGGGTTGGGAATCAGATAGACTCATTTTCATGAGTTTAAATCTGGCCTCAGACACTTCTTGGCTGTGTCATGTAACCTTGGGTGCCTCAGTTTCCTCATCTGTAAAATGAGCTGGAGAAGGAAATAGCAAACCACTCCAGTCTCTTTGCCAAGGAAACCCCAAATGGGGTCACAAAGAGTTGAACACAACTGAAATGACTGAACAACAAAATAATAATAACAATTAGCATTTATATAGTGCTTTGAGGTTTGCAAAGTGTTACCTCATTAATCCTCACAATAATCCTGGGAGGTAGATGCTGTTGTTATCCTCATTTTACAGATGAGGAAACTGAGGCTGAAAAAAGGTTAAGGGATTTGCCCAAGGTCACACAGCTAGGTGGGTCCTGAGGCAGAATTCAAACTAGAATGTTATACTCTATCCACTGCCTCACATAGTTGCCATCTGTAAAGTGGGGGCTGGGGAATTAGATCAGGGGTGTGCTGATAAAGATTTAACAACTAGCTTTGGGTGATGGGGAAAGTTATTATTCAACACATTTTAAAGTTTAATCTTCTTTATTAACATTTTCTCTATTGCTTTCTTAAGTCTAGACAATCAACAAAATAATAAATCAAGCCCTGATTTGTAATGATTTTGGTGGTACAAATGCTCGTGCTGAAAATTTAACAATTGACTCTTCCAGCACACCCCTGAACTAGATGATCTCCAAACTCATGTCTGATGCACCCTGTGACTCACAGATTCCGTGATCCCATGTTTCAAAGTTTGTCCTTATTGACCTCCTTCTCCCTTCTTTTCAATGCTCAGTTCTGCCTGCCCCTCTGCTTGCTGAGCACTCACTGTTCTCATACTGTTCTATATCTAGGATTCTACCCAGTGATATGCTTATGACCAGAGCCCAAACTAGCTGTGATTCTGTCTGGGGCAAATTCAATGACCAGTTGAAGGTGGAGTGGTGCAAAAAATAGTCAGATAGTCTGGGATAGGAGCCCCAGGGTCATTGTCCCCTGCAGAGTGGCCTCAGAGGCATTTGCTGAGGCAACAGGAACTGCTGTCATATTGAGGAGAAAGCACCATCGCTACCATGTTGGCACCCTAGGGCACCAAGCCTTGTTCTGCCTGGCTTAGTTATGGCCCTGCCTGAGGCTGCACATTACCCCCAATCCCACCTCCAAACCAGAACTTCCACATCCTATGACTCCTCTTCTAGGCCAAGGGTGATAATAGAATAGATGAATTAATTTGTGTTAATATTCTGCCTCTCCTGGGTAACATAATACCATCATTCAGGCTCCTTTAAGAGACTCGTAAAGAAATTTATACTAATGACTTTGCTAAAATGGGCATTTCAGGTAAGTTGAGGGGCAGACAAGTCTCTCCTGGCCCTTTTCAGACCAAACCTTGAGAAAGAGGAGACACTGAAATCTTTTTTTCAAAGGATTTGTCCTTCTCTAGAATAGCACCTAGAACCAGGGATGATGGGGGGAGGTGAAACAGAGACCCCAGTGTGAGCCTGACGACTTTGTGTATTTCTATATGCACACACATGTGTATACACATATGTATTGACATATGTGTATACATGTGCACACATGTGTAGCTATACTAGTGTGTGTATGCATTGACTGTCATGTATGCATCTGTGTATACATATATGTGTGTATTTTATTTCTTAGTGGTATCATTTGTTGATTGTTCTTCAATAGCAATTATGAAATCAGTGAAGACAATAACAATATAAAAAATTTGTCAATTATTAACCAATAGGGATTCAGATCAACAAAAGCACTACTAACTATATATTAAGGACAGAACACAAGTATGTTTTAATGTGGTTCTTAACTGTATAAATATGTAATTAATGAACTTGTCTTGTGAAGGAACATTTCTGATTCTGTTTTAACATCTACTATTTGACAATATGCCAACTGCGTAGCCCTATCTCATGGGCAGATGCAACTTTCCTGAATCAAATATTTTTGAAATGTAGCTTTCTATGAATAAAGAGGGAATTTGTAGTTCAATTTTAGTTTAATTATGCTAAAGTATAAGTTTAAATTTTTTGTTATTCTTTAATTCCAAAAAGTGAAGCGACCTACATAAAGTTTACCAAAAATGCAACTTACACAAAATACTTTCAATTCTATATTCTCTTAGTCTTCAAATAAATAAGATCTCATGTTAAATTATAAAAATTTATAAATCTGACATTCTAGTAAAGAGCAAAATGCATCTAATTATAAATATGTTGCATTATATGAATGTTGCAATTTGAGAAAAGTTACAATTTGCCAGGTTGCATTTTCCTTGTATTGACTGCAATACAAATCATAGTAACATGATATATAATACGTTATTTTAATTTTTAAAGTATATTCTTTAAGAATAAATATTTTCTTTTCCTTTTCTACTTTCCATTTAAATGCCAGACGGGCCATATTTGTTTTTGTTTTTGTTTGCTCATTGATGCATATTCCATGTAGATCTTTAGTTGGTCCCTGGCAGTTCTCTCATTTCCCCTTTTTTCCTTTTCTCTCCTCTTCTCCCTTCTGAAACTTTCCTCCTTCTCTTCCCTCTGCTCTTCTTCTCTCTCTTCTTTTCCATCTTTCTGGGGTGGGAGAGGGAAAATATATTTTTTTACCAGGCTTCTAGCACATAGATCATAGGATCATAGTTTAGAGCTGGGACCTCAGAGATCAATCTCCTCATTTTACAGATGAGGAAACTGAGGCTTGGAGGTTTGATGACTTACCCAACAATCATACAGGTGTGGCAGAGTTGAGATTTGAACCCATGTCCTTGACTCCAAAAACCAGAATACTTTCCACTGTTCCTCATAGATATAGTAGGTACCCCAAACTAAATAAAAAATGGTGGGATTGGATAACAGAGAGAAGAAGCCAATGCTTGACAGATTTTGGTTTATGTGCCCTCTGGTCACTCCAGAAAGGGAGGCAAGAGTTTCTCTGGAGAAAAGTTCTGGAGCCTAGGAGAAAAAAACCAACAGTTCCACATTTCCTTGCAGGGGAGAACAGCCCCTTAAAACTTACCTCTCAAGGGAGTCTCCTGGCACCCCAACAGAATGAAGTGTCCAGCAACACCCCTGGCCAGCTGGATCCTGCCTTTCTGCCAAGGAGGGCTTTCTTCAGAGAACAGCCGCTCAATCTCTTGCACACGTCAGAGGTCAGCTATCAGGCAGAGGTCATTTGTTCCTTTCACAGAACAAAGCAAGACTCTATTGATGGAAAACTTGCAGGTGAGTGGAGGGGACCCTGGCCTCTGAATGGAAAGGGAGGCTGTCGTTGGCTGAATAGTGTGCTTATAGAAAAAAAAAGCATTTAAAAAACTAACTTTATTTGTTGATAAATTTTACACATTCAATAATGTTAACGTTTAATTATATAAAAAGAAGAGTAATTATTATTGGGAAAGGAGGTATCTCTAGTTCATTAAATATCACTTATTTAAAACCAGGCATGGGATGGGGTGGGGTGGGGAACAATATAACAGTTTTATTAAGGATTAAGAAAATATTCAACGTGTGCCTAGATTTTTCTAGAACTCAGGTTAAGATTAAAATAAGAGGAGTCAAGTGACAGGTAGGGGAGTGACATTCAACTTAGAGTGGGTAACTACCCATCCATTTACTTTGCTACGCTTGCACCACTTGAATTCAATTTCATAAATATTTATTAAGTGTGTACTACATGCCAGGCACTGTGCCAAGAGGCAAAAGATAGTCCCTGCCCTCAAGGAGCTTACAATCGAATGGGGAAGATAACATGAAAACAAATTTATACAAAGCAAGCTTTAGACAAGAAAAATAGGAAATAATTAAAGGAAGAAAAGGCACTGGAATTAAGAGGGGCTGGGGAAGGTGAGATTTTAGCTGGGTTTAAAGGAAGCCAGGGAGGTGAGTAGCTGGAGTGGAGGAAGGAAAGCTTTCCAGGCACGGGGGACAGCCAGAGAAAATTCCTGGAGCTGAGAGATGGAGTGTCTTCTCTTGTTTGTTGAACAATCAAGGAGGTAAGTGTCACTGAATCGAAGAGTATGTGCTGGGGAGTAGGGTATAAGAAGACTGTGAAGGTAGGAGGGTACTGGGTTATGGAGGTCTTTGAATGCTCAATGGAACGTTTCGTGTTAGATTCTGGAGGCAATGATCAAAACTGCATTTGGGAAAATCACTTTAGAATGGAGAATGGATTGGAATGGAGAGAGACTTCAGGCAGGCAGATACACCAATGGGTGATTGTAGTAATCAAGGTATGAGGTAATGGGAGTCTGAATCAGGGTGGTGGTAGTGTCAAAGGAGAGGAGGAGGTGTGTTGAAGAGATGTTGCAAAGGTGCAATCTCCAGGCCTTACCAACAGCTTGGATATGGGGGGAGGGTGAGAGATAGTGAGGAATTCAGGATGACTCCTAGCTGTGAATCTGAGGGTCTGGGAGGATGGTATTGCCCTCTGCGGTAACAGGGATATTTTGAACATATTGAGTTTAAGATGTCTACTGGACATCCAGTTCAAGATATCTGAAAGATAGTTGGAGATACAATATTGGAGGTGGGAGATTGGGGCAGGATAGGTAGAATGGAGAACCATCAGCACAGAGATGGTAATTAGATCCATGGGAGCTTATAAGATCACCAAATGAGATAATATAGAGGGAGAAGAGAAGAGAGACTAGGACAGAATCATGACGAACTAGCCTATGGTTAGAGGGTGTGATATGGAGAAGGAGACAGAGGAGTGGTCAGATAAGTAGGAAGAAAACTAGGAGAGAGTGATGTCCTGCAAACCTAGAGAGAAGAGAGTATCAGGAAGGACAGAGGGATCAGCAATGTCAAAGAGAGGTCAAGGAGAATGAAGATTGAGAAAAGGACACTAGACTTGGCAGCTAGGAGATCATTAGTCACTTTGGAGAGGGAAGTTTCAGTGGAATGATAAGGTTGGAATCCAAATCGTAAGGGGTTAAGAAGAGAGTAAGAGGAGAGGTGCGGGCACATATTGTAGATGGTCTTTTTTTTTTTTAATTTTTAGGCAGTTGGGGTTAAGTGACTTGCCTAGGGTCACACAGCTAGTAAGTGTCAAGTGTCTGAGGCCAGATTTGAACTCAGGTCCTCCTGACTCCAGGGCTGGTGTTCTTTCCACTGCACCACCTAGCTGCCCCGTAGATGACCTTTTTAGCTACAAAGAGTCGAAGAGATATAGGATGATGGCAAGGGTGGAAGGATCAAGTGAGGATTTTTTCAGGATGGTGATATTTGTAGGCAGTAGAAAATGAGACAATAGATCATTCAATGAAATAGGGGACTTTCAAGCATTCTTGATGAAGAGACCAGAGCTGAATATAAAATTTGACTTTCAAATACAAGACTCAAGTGGAACATGAAGAGATAAATAGGAAAGAGAAATCATAAGACACTTATTAAGGTTGAACTGTTTATATTTTTGTAGGGAAAGATGATATTTGTAACTCACAAGTCCTTTGTCAGTATTAGGATAGTGGGAGGGAAAAAATTATATATATGCATATATATATAGAGATAGAAAGATAGATAGATAGATAGATAGATAGATAGATAGATAGATAGATGGCACAGAGTGAGTTGAAGATGAAGGGGTGATATCTGGAGAATAAAATTAAGGGGTGAGAGAGGATTATACTGGGAGAAGGAGAAAGGGAGAGGTAGAATGGGGTAAATTATCTCAAAAAAACAGAAAAGAAAAGGCTTTTCAGTAGAGGGGAAATAGGGGAAGGTGAGAGGGAATGAGTGAATCTTATTCTCATAGTATTTGACTTAAGGAGGGAATAACATACACACTCAATTGGGTATGAAAATCTGTCTTACCCTACAGGAAAATAGGGGAGGAAGGGGACAAGAGAGCAGGGGAGTGATAGAGAGGAGGGCAGATTGGGAAAGGGGGCAATCAGAAACAAACACTTCTGAGGAGGGACAGGGTCAAAAGAAAGAATAGAATAAATGGGGGGGTGGGATAGGATGAAGGGAAATATAGTTAGCTTTTCACAACATGTCTACTATGGAAGTGTTTTGCATAACTGCAGATATATAACTTATATTTAGTTGCTTGCCTTTTCAATGAGGATGGGTGGGGAGGGAGGAAGGGAGTAAATTTGGAACCCAAAGTTTTAAAAACACATGTTTAAAAAAATGTTTTCACATGCAACTGGGAAATAAGAAATATAGGAAATGGGGTACAGAAATCTGTCCTGCCCTATAGGAAAATAGAAGAGGAAGGGGATAAGAGAAGGGAGGAAGAGATAGAAGGGAAGGCAGACTAGGGGAAAGGATATTCAGAATGCATGCCATCTTGGGGCGGGGGAGGGGTGAAACGGGGGAAAATTTGAAACTCAAAATCTTATGGAAGTAAATATTGAAAACTAAAAATAAATAAATTTAAAAAAAAGAAAATGAGCCAATAGAAAAGGAGAGATTGAAAATAAGTGGAAATAGTGGGGAGGACAGAGGGGGCAGAGACAAAGATGGAATGGAATCACTTAAACAAGTAGAAGAGTTAACCTGGGAAGGGAGCAAGGTCACTCAATCATGTGAAACAGAGATGAAGGAAGAAAAAGTGACAGAAGGTGACTGAGTTATGAGAGATCAAGAAGAAGGGTGATGAGGGAGTTCACAGAAATGGCTTCAATTTTTTTCATAAAATATGTGACAAGGTTCTCTGCTGAGAGTGTATGGGCAGGAGGAGCTATGGGAGGCTTCAGGAGGGATGAAAAGGTTTGGAAGAGCCACCATGGAGAGTGGGGTAGTGAGCTGATAATGGAGGCATAGCAGAATTGCCTAGCAGCAATGAGGGCCCAGTTGAGGTTATGTGACATAAATTTGTAGTGGACCCAGTCAGAACAGTTGTCTGATCTCTTCATCTTTATGCAGCAATACATGTGTAATCATGAAACCTGATGAACGGGGGGAGTGATCCAAGGCTGAGGCTTGTCTGAATATAATGGGGCTAGGGATTCAAGAGGGGAAGACAGTATAGGGTTGAATTGGCTTACCAAGGGGTCAAACTGGGGAGAAGAAGAGAGAGCAGCTAGTGCAGGGGAAATGGCCTAGGAGGGGCCTCCCTTGAGGGGTCAAGGGATTAAAGGTCATGGTGAGGATGAAGAGTAGGGATATGTAAGGGAAGGCAGAGGGAGAGATGAAATGCCAATAGATTATGGTCAGATAAGGACTTCAGAATTCTTGAACATGGAGGTGGTACATTTGTGGAAGATGATGAAATCAAGGGTATGACCATCTTTGTGTGGCTGAGGTAGGGTGGAGTAGTAGCTCATGGAAGGTGACTAGTTGAGGAACTGAGAAGTTAGGGTATTTGAGGGAGAATATGTATGTCAAAGTCTTCTAATATGAGGGCAGGAGTTGGGGAGAAGAGAAAAATTGTAAACCAGGTATCAAACTCATTGAGGAAGGAAGCAGAGTGACCTGGGGTCTGTAAACAACAGGTACCAGAAATTTCATTGGATGGTAGGCTTAGAGGATGGAGTAACACAGGAGGCAGTCTAACAATGGATGTAGTTGCTTTGGGAGAAGAGCACCATGTTTCCCTGAAGGTACAACCTAATTTATATATCTTGCTGCTATACAAGTTTTGACCTAATGAACGGAGTCTAAAGGTAAGAGCTCAGATTGAATTGATTAAGTGCCTGAGTCCTTGTCCCTTCTTGGCTTCTGGGTGTACCATATGATTGCAGTCTAACATCCTTCTGCAGACAGGGTCCCCAAAGCCTCTCTAGACTGAAGAAATCCAAGCCCATTTTTCTCACTGGGTAGTTATCTCTTGCCAAAGACAATTTGGATGCTAGCCAAATGCTAAGTCTGGCCACCCAGGATGTTCATTTAAAAAAAAAGTCTTGGGGCAGCTAGGTGGTGCAGTGGATAGCACACTGGCCCTGAAGGCAGGAGGACCTGAGTTCAAGTGCGGCCTTAGACCAAATACTTGACACTTGCTAGCTGTGTGACCCTGGGCAAGTCACTTAACCCCAGTTGCCTTAAAAAAAAAAGTCTTGACTAACCAATGAGAGACTGATTGATCAGCTAGCTAAACAACTAACTGACCAACCGGTGATTGACTTGACTGACAATTGATTTGCTGGGGAATAAACTTGGAGCCAGCTCTTCTGAGCCAATTGTTAAATTTTCAGTGTGATCATTACCTCAAAATGGACAAATGCTATGAATCAGGTCTTAATGCATTGTTTTGTTGATCATCTAGACTTAAGAAAGTGATGGAGAAGATATTGATAATAGATTAAACTTTAAAAATGTATCATGTGTGCATTTCTTTTTTTCAGAGAGCTTGTTGTTAAACATTTACCAACACACTCTTGACCAGCTGACCAATTTATAGGTTGATGAATTGACTTGACTGGCTGACTGATCAGCTGACTACCTGACCAATTGATAATTAATTTGAGGGCCTGACTACCTGAGCGATGACAGATTGATTGGTTGCCTTGACTGGCTGACCAACAGGCAGATTACCAAACTGACCACTGATAAACCCTTTGCCTGCCTGACAGATTGATTGGCCAGCTGACAAAGTGGTCAACTCTAACAACTGATGAACTAAGTGACTGGCACTCTATTCACTGTGCCACCTAGCTGCCCAAGGACCAAATTAGATTTATTAAGCGGTTAGCACAGCACCTGGCAGATAGTAGGTACTTAACAAATGCTTGCTCTGCACCCTACCTCCCCAGTTACCACTGCTTTATTTTACTTAGAAAACCCTTTTCTAGACAGAATCTTTGCATCCTGCTGTGTATCACGCTTGTGTTGTCCTCTGATCCACCACAGATTGTCGCTTGCTATGGGACTATGTGTATCAGCTGCTCTCTGACAGCAGGTATGAATCTTACATCAGGTGGGAAGACAAGGACTCCAAGATTTTCCGGGTGGTTGACCCAAACGGACTTGCCAGGCTCTGGGGAAATCACAAGGTACGCTGGGGCTCCGGAGGGACAAGATGGCTTTGCCAGGTTTCCTTTCGGGAATGGCCGTTGGGAGCCCAGCCACAAGGTCCGTTCAGTGAATGTTTGTTGGAATGGATTGAATTGCTCCCAGCATTGGAATGCTTCGCCTTTTGAGCTTCTTCAGACTGCAATTTGTCTGAAGCTTGTTATTGCCATTTCATAGGTAGGAATACTGAGGTTTATAAATTGGGAGAATCAATGGAACTCAGATTTGCACTTAGCCATTTATTGTTATCCACTGCACTAGATGGCTAGTGGTTAGAGTGCTGGGCCTGGAGTGAGGAAGACCTTAGTTCAAATGCGACCTTAGACACTTACTAGCTGTGTGACCCTGGGCAAGTCACCTAACCTCTATTTGCCTTAATCCCAGAAGGAAATGGCAAACCACCCAAGTATCTTTGCCAAGAAAATCCCATGGAGGGGCAGCTAGGTGGCACAGTGGATAGAGCACCAGTCCTAGATTCGGGAGGACCTGAGTTTAAATCCAGCCTAACTTGTCATTTACTAGCTGTGTGACCCTGGGCAAGTCACTTAACCCCATCACCAGCAAAAACAAACAAACAAAAAAAAAGATTAAAAAAGAATCCCATGGAAAGTATGGTCCATAGGGTCATGAAAAGTCGGAAATGATTGAACAGCAACTTGTTATTATTTTACCAGACCCGGATTTCACTGGTATGAGGAGTTCCCAGTGAAGAATTCCCTCTCCCAATGTAGATTGACTCCCACTTTACAACTTAAAATCTGAGAGAATTTCCTGGGACACTGACAGGAGAAGTGATTTGCCCAAGGTCACACAGCCAGTATGTGTCAGAGGTGGGCCTTAAACTCTAGTCTTCCCTGGTCAAAGGCTGGCTCTGTATCCACCATGCCGCACTGTTTCTCATACTATTATTAGTAGTAGTATTGATATTGTTACCACTACTACTGATGTGGAAGAATACTCTACACTCTGCATTTTAGGCATGAGCCTGCCAGAAATAACTTTTATTGATTTTGAGTATTATAATCTAAGTACTTGTGCTTAGCAAGAGAGGACCAAATGCAGACAGAGCCAGCCCACGACCCTGCAGATCTCTCTCCAACAAAAACCATTTTTGGCTAACGGTTTATTTTATTCTCAAAACAAGAGCCACAATTCCATAATGGGATGAAGCCCAGTTACAACACTCAGGATAAATTTCACATATTATTTTGCATCATCAAAGCAGAACTAGATTCACTTCACTTTCTGCTCACTCTTGGAGAATGGTTTTCCTACAGTGACTCAATCCCTCCCTTTAAGAATTCTTTTTTCCAGTGGACAAAGGTGATCTCTGGCATATTTCCTTTAGCTGAAGCCATCAGAAGACTCCTTCCACTTGATCATTACCCTTCATCCCTCCAGCCCAGGGATAAAGGCAAAGGCCTTAGCTTATTTAATCGTTTCAGTCGTGTCCAATTCTTTGTGACTCTGGGGTTTTCTTGGCAGAGACACTGGAGTGGTTTGCTATTTCCTTCTCCAGCTCATTTTACAGATGAGGAAACCGAGGCAAACAGTGACTTGCCCAGGGTCACACAGCTAGGAAGTCTGAGACTGGATTTGAACTCGGGAAGATGAGTCTTCCTGACTCCAGGCCCAGCACTCTGTGTACTGTGGCACCACCTAGCTGTCCCCAGCTGGCCATAGCTAGATTGAGATATTTCCCTGTTTGAAGTCTGGTTACCACCCTTAATCCATTTTCAGAAAACTAATTTTCATTCTTAATCTTTCATATACTTAATAATAATTTTAATAATAGAATTTATGTGTAGCACTTTAAATTCTTTATCTCGTTTGATCCTTGTAGCTTGTGAGGTAGATGCTATTACCATCCTCATTTTGCAGATGAAGAAATTGAGTCTGAGAGAGGTTAAGTGACTTGTCCAGGGTCACACAGCTAGTAAGTGTCTGATGCAGGATTTGAACTTGGGTCTCTCTGACTCCAAATCCTGTACTCCATTCGCTGGACCACCTGACTGCCCAAAAGAAAATGGTTAGAGTTTAGGCTAGGGTAATTAAAAAACATGCTTTTTTTTTGTTTGATTTTGTTTTTGTTTTTGTTTTTTGCTAGGCAGTGGGGTTAAGTGACTTGCCCAGGATCACACAGCTAGTAAGTGTTATGTGTCGGAGGACAGATTTGAACTCAGGTCCTCCTGACTTCAGGGCTGGTGCTCTATCCACTAAAAATATGCTTTCTTAATATTTCTAAAAGAGGGAGCAAATGGTCCTTTTTCCTGCGTTCAAACTAATGGTACTTTACATTTGTATTGTGATTTTTAAACTTTTTCAAGACCACCTTTGTATGATAAGAAGCATTTTTTTTTTGTTTCAAGTTAAGGTTGCAAAGGCTAACTCTTAGAAATATAGGGGCCTGTCCCTGCAGAAGCCTGGGTAGGGTTGGAGGGAGCTGGGCCAACTGACTTCCGCTTTCCCGTCCAGTTCTAAGTTTGTACAATCTGATTATTCCCATCTTCATAATAGGCATTTGCCAGATGAAGAAACTGAGGCCCAGAGAGGTTTGTTAGCAGAGATAGGACTAAGTCTCAGGTCTCTTGACTCCTGGTGCTTCCTGCCACACCACACTCTTGTCTCTAACTGCATTTCAACCTCATGCACTTTTTGGTCTGCTTCGGGAGTAATTTAAAAAGGAAATTAAATTCTCCCACCTACCCCTGAGAAGCAAGGAGACTTCTGGGTTAGCGCAATCAGAGAGAACCAGATGGTGACTTTTCCTGCAGCATGAAGATCGAGGGCCTTCCAGGCCCAGCATCATTCGATAATTCCAGGTCCTGTCGGTCACACGGTGCCTGCTTTCTCTTCCAGAACCGGGTGAACATGACCTATGAGAAGATGTCAAGGGCTCTCCGGCACTACTACAAACTGAAAATCATCAAAAAGGAGCCAGGCCAGAAACTTTTGTTCAGGTAAGAACAGTTCAGTTGCTGTGGTAATGTGAGGAAGGGGAAGTGGGCTGGGGGAAGGCAGGGCCCAGGGCCCATTTCCCCCTGGCTCAGGCAGGCCAGCCTTTAATCCCCCCCCCCCCTCTTTTTTTGAATTACAGATTCCTGAAAACTCCTGATGAGATTGTTCACGACAAAGCCAGCAGGTTGGAGCAGCTGGAACGTCAGGATCAGGAAGGACTGGATTTTAAGGAGGAGGTATTAGAAGTCTCACCCTAAGGGACAGCTGACAGGCAGGGATGCATCTCTCTGATCTAGAAGAGGGTTTTGTACTGGAAAAGGAGGAGAGAGAGGAGGAGGAGGGGGAAGCAGACCACTTGCCCTTCCCTCCAGACTTGGAGAAGCCAGAGATTCCGGAGGAAGGGTGTGCGTGGGGGCTGGAGGAGGAAAAAGAAGAATCCTTCAAGTGCTCTTCAGAGGATTCACATGCAGGCCTCAAATCTGGACTTGGATCAAGGTCAACCCAAGGCCAAATGATGGCAGAGGACAAGATGGAGGTGCCCTTGCCCCTGCCGACTCTCTCCTTAAATGTCCCTTTGGACAATTGTACAGAACTGGGTCCTGTTTCTTCAGACACTTTCTAACAGCAGTCACCTGATCACTATCTGCAATCTCCCACTGTCTTGTTCATTTCCCCGTGGTTTATTCCTTCCCTCCTTCATTCCTTCATTCAACAAACATTTTTATTAAGCAGCATTTGTGCTTAAGTAATGAGATCATTTATGTGGCAATTTTGCCTTAAGGTTTGCAGGGTACTTTATATCTGTTATCTCATCTGATCCTCACAACAACCCTAGGAGATAGATGCTGTTATTACACCCATTTTCCAGATGAAGAAACTGAGGCTGAAAGAGGTTAAGGGACATGCCCAGGGACACACAGCTAGTAAATGTCTGAGGCAGGATTTGAACCCAGGTTTTCCAAACTCCAAACCCAGCATTTTCTCCACTATGCCACAAAGCATAATTTAATTTCACAAGCAACTAGCTTTCAATGAGGCATGGGTACTAACCTCAGAGCCAGAAAGACATGGCTTCAAATAGTGCCTCTGATCCTTACTAGCTGTGTGACCCTGGGCAAGTCATTTGGCATCTCTGGTACTTAGTTTCCTCATCTGTAAAACAAGAAGATTAATCCCAATGGTCCCTTAGCTCTAAATCCATGATCCTATGATCACTTACTTGGATGGAAGACACTGTGCTAGGCACAGGGGATACTAAGACAAAATAAAGTGTTGTTCCCCTGCCCTCACATTCTACAGGATACAATATTCCAACCAGGTACTGCTATAGAGAGAACGTTAGGTCTGGTATCAGAAAGACCCGAGTTCAAATTCTGCTTCAGACACTTGCTAGCTGTGTGACCCTGGGCAAGTCACTTAACTGCTGCCTCAGTTTCCTCATCTGTGAAATGAGGATAATAATAGAATATAGCTCCCAGGGTGTCAAATGATCTAATGAGATAATGGTTGTGAAGCTCTTAGTACAGTGCTTGGCACATAGCAGGTGCCATTACTTAAATGTTAGTTATCCTTATTATCATTCATGCTAAGACATGGTCCATAGGAAGGCTGGTTATTTCTACTACAGAAAGAATGCTAGATATTAAATTGTGGTGGGGCTTCAAATCCTGACTTTGTTACTTCCTGCCTATGTGACCTCAGGCAAGCCGCTTGACCCCTCCGGGCCTCAGTTTCCCCAACTGGGTGATGAGAGGGTTGGACTACTTGATTTCTGAATCCCCTCCCATTTCTAAATCTGATACTTGCCATGATCAAGTTAACAGTTTAGGAAGGGAATAAAAGAGACACACCCAAGTAAGGAAATCACCAAGGTTCCTCTGAGACCCTCTCCAACGCTGAGAGTTTTTGATTGTGTGAGGGTGGAGAGAATATGGAAAAGGGAAAAGAAGACAGCAGAAAAGAAGCCAGGTGCTAAGGTTGGGAGGAAAAGGAAAGAGAAACGAGGGAAGGGGGGAAGTTGGAAAGAAAAAAAAGAAGAAACAGAAAAGGAAAATGCACAAAGTGGTGGGAGCGAGAATGATGAGAAAGGTCATATTCAGTCCAGGGAACTCAGTCAGTCAATCAACAACTATGTGTGGAAAGTCTTGTGTTCCCAGCTATGAGGATACACAGTCAGTCAGTCAATAAGCATTTATTAAGCACCTACGATATGCTAGATACTGTGCTAAGAACTAAGGATATGAAGAAAGGCAAAAGACAGTCCTTGCTCTCAAGGACAAAGAATGCTCCCACAAGCTCACAGTCTAGTAAGGGTCATGTAGGATACATCTAAGAGAGAAGGTGACACTGAGATATATCACAGACAGCGAATGTTGCGGCAAGTGGCAACTGTCTTTGTACCCATACTCGGTGTATGATAAACTCACTTCCTGTATGACTGAGCAACCCTTTCCCTCTCTGGGGCTCATTTTCTTCATCTGTAAAGGGTCTAGTTCTAAATCTATGATCTTTCAGGTTCAAAGAAACTAACAATAACTCACCTCTTTTTTAACATTATAAGTTTTATAGAACACTTTCCTCGCAATGACTCTCACTGGTGGCTGGGAAGGGGCGGAAACGCCAGTGTGGACCTTTGGTTCCATCTTAGTAAAGGGCTCCCGGTAAGGAAAATTAACTCTAATAATGGGATTTAACAACTCATTGACAACTTACAGGTTCAAAGGGTTGTTGTCTGGGGCACTGTAAGGTTAAGTGCCTGTAATCACATAGCTAGTCTACGTCAGACGCAGGATTTGAATCCACATCGTCTCAAAGTCCATAGCCAGCTTTTTATCCACTCTACCACACTGACTCTCAGTGCAAGTAGCATTTAGTCCCATTTTACAGATAAGGAAACCACAGGCTCACAAAGCTAATAAGTGTCAGGGTTGGAATTCATGGAATTGAAGACTTGTAGTCGAGGAAGGGACCTTCAAGGCCATCTGGTCCAATCCTAAACTCAAGAAGAAATCTTCTCTATGACATAACTGACAAGTGAGCCTTCTCCACGTAAAACATTGCCGGTGCCTTGAACTGTCATTGTCTATCACGTGGTCCTATCACATCCTTCACCATCCTGGTTATTCTCCTCTGGACACCCACGAGCTTGTCCACGTCTTTAGGGAATTGTGGCACCTAGAACTGAACACAACAATCTAGATGTGGTCTGTCCAGGGCAGAGTATGAGAGCACTGTGAACTTATTTCTGGAGGGCACTCACACCACTCAGGTAGCACTTAGACTTTCTCTCACATGCGGGGTATCCTCCCACACCTACTTTTCATCTCTCTTTAATGTGTTGTCTTCTCATGTTAGAATGTAAGCTCCTTGAGGGCAGGGACAGTCTTTTGTATCTTTTTGTATCCCCAGTGCTTAGCACAGTGCCTAGCACATAGTAAGCACTTAATAAATGTTTGTTGACTGACTGACAGAGCTGGCTTAATACTGACCAAGATTGCATTTGCCTTTTTTTTTTTTAGTAATTACATCAGACTGCTAATTTATATTGAGCTTATAGTCTTCTAAGACTCCCAGACCTTTTTCATATAATCAGTCACTCAGACAACAAGCATTTTTTAAGCACTCGCCCTATGCCAGGCACTGTCTTAGACTCTGGGAATACAAAGAAAGGCAAAAACATGACTCCTTCCTTCAAGAAGCTCTCTTTGAATGGGTGAAACAATGTGCAATAAAATTATCCAAATTGCTGTCTAATCATACCTCCTCTCTCTCGTACTTTCTAGGTTGATTTTTTTGAACCCAGGTATAAGACTTTGCATTTATCTCTATTAGGTTCAGATCTTTTGGGATTCTGACCCTCTCACCCAGTGTGTTAACTGTCCCTCTCAACTTTGTAGTATTTGAAAATTCAATGAACACGCCAGACATGCTTTTATCCAAGTCATAACTAGCATTTACAGGGCATGTTAAGGATTACAAAGCAATTTACAGATATCATCTCATTTCATCCTCAAGACAACCTCGGAAGGTAGGTGCTATTATTATACCCTTTTTTACAAATGGGGAAACTGAGGCAAACAGAGGCTATGTGATTTGCTAGGGCCACACAGCTAGTAAGTGTCTGAGGCTGGATTTGAACTCAGGTCTTTCTGGCTCTAGGTCTAGTGCTCTGTCCACTGCACCACTTAGATTGTTGTCATTGATCAAAGAATTAAACAGCACAGAGCAAAGCACAGATCCTTTGGGCACTTCACTAAAGACCTCTGCCAAGTTGACATTAAAGCATTAATGACCCTTCTTTGAGTCTGACCATTCTACAAGTTCTGAATCTGTCATACTTGTATTATCTTCTAGTACACATCTCTCCAGGATAGTTGAGTGGCGCAGTGGATAGAATGTTGGTCTCAAAGTCAGGAGGACCTGAGTTCAAACCCAGATACTTACTAGCTGTGGGAACCTGAGCAAGTCACTTCACCCTGTTTGCCTCAGTTCCTCATCTGTCAAATGAGCTGGAGAAGGAAATGGCAAACCTCTCCAGTATTTTTAACAAGAAAACCAGAATGGGGTCACAGAAAGTCAGACAGGACTGAAACAACTGAACAACAACAACACATTTCTCCATCATTTCTACAAGGAGAATATGAGACTTTTTTCAATGAAATATGAGGCAAGGTTCTTGGGTGAGAAGGTGGGGGGAAAGAGAATCATGAGAAGTCAGAGGAGGGATGAAAAGCTTTGGAAGAGCCACTGCAGTGAGTGGAATAGTAATTGATTAGGGAAAAGGTGGGAAAGGATCGCCTTGCTGCAACAAGGGCCTAATTCAGGTTAGATAACATAATTTTGCAGTTGAACCCATCAACATGATCTCATGTTTTCCTCCAGCTTCATTCAGCAGCATGTGAGTTGGAATGAAAGCAGTAGATGGTGGAGTGATCCGAGGTTGTGACTTGGTGGGGCAAGATCGGTGGTACCGTAAGTGGTCTAGGGACTTGAGAGAATAATGTAGACTAGAAGTGTTTCGTCAAGGGGTCAAAACAGGGAAGGGAGGAGAGGATAGCCAGTGCAGAGGTGATGGCTTGAGAAAGAACTGTTGATGGGGGGTTTGGAGGTCATGGTGTAGACCAAGAACAGGGTTAAAGTTTATAAGGTATAGAGAAAGATGGAATTTTAAAAAATTATGACAATATAAAGAAATTTCAGAGTTCATGAACATGGAAGTGGCACATTTGTGGGTGATGTCAAAACCAAGGGTATGACCACTATAGCTGAGGTGGAGTGGGGGAATAGTCATGGGAAACCAGTAATTTGCAGAACTGGGAAGTTTGTATGTTTGAGGTATCAGTATGTGTGTTGATGTCTTCTAGTATGAGATCAGGAGTCAGGAAGGAAAGAAGCTGTGAGTCAGACACTGAATTAATTGAGGAGGAAGGAATATTTTTGTACCATGTGTACAAAAATGTTCACAGGAGTTCTTTTTGTAGTGGCAAAGAAGTGCAAATCAAAGGACTGTTTGAACTGGGGAATGTTTGAAAAAATAATGTTCTATGAATAAATGTATGAATATATATACAGTTAAGTCATTTTTCAGTCGTATCTAACTCTCTGTGATCCCTTTTGGGTCTTGGCAGAGATACTGAAGTACT